TTACTCAGATTCACCTTCAGCAAGGAAAACGAAGTCTGATTTATTTGGACAAACAGTATGTAGATTTTTTTAAAACAACAAAAAATGGCATTCTTTGCAACACAGCCCAGTCCCCATCACTTCATTACAGCGTAAGTATAGAAGAGACACTGCAAGATAGGATAATACATTGACTTATTATGTTACGTGATGACGTGATCTTAAATAATTTCATTTTAATCACAGGACAGACTGCACACTGAAAATGGAAACCTCTGTTCCTATGAAGTTTTGCCAATTGGCCCATAATATTCTGTATTGGGAAAGGATCCCATTCAGCATCGTATATTGTGTTTAGTTATGTCCTGTTTCTCGGTCTTTCATTGGAACTTTTACCATTTGCAACAGCATGGATGGACCTGGAGAGCATTATGCTAAGCGAAATAAGCCAGTCGGAGAAAGATAAATATCACATGATCTCATTCATATGTGGGATATAATGATCAATACAATTTGATGAACAAAAATAGATCCAGAGACTAAGAAACACTGATCAGTGTCCAACCTCAGAGAGAAGGTGGGGGTGGGGGGTGGGGGAGGAGGTAAGAGATCAACCAAAGGACTTGTATGTATGCATATTGTCATAACCAATGGACACGGTGTAATACTTTAAACAATAAAAAAGAAAAAGAAAATGAAAATAATAACCAAGAGGCTTTGCTCTGAAAGATATAAATATGTACTATAACACTGCAATAATTTAAAGTGTAAATTATGGTAAAAAAAAATAAATCAATGCTACATAAGAGAGTCCAGAAAAGATGTGTAAATAGGCAAATTGAGTATATAATAAAGGCTCCAGTTGAAATTGCTGGGGAAAGGGTGGACTCTTCAGTAGGTGCTTTGAGATAATAAGCTATTAAGTTAGAAAAAACAAAAGCAAATTTAGATTCCTATTTCATACCACAAGTAACACATTTCCAAATAGTTAATTTTTTCAAAAAGCTATTTCCATAAGGAAGACAATTTTCATGATTTTGGGTATAAGAAAAGCCTTTCTCAGTATGACACAGGCTAGAGATATAAAAAACAGATTAATATATCAGATGACATAAAAATCCAAAAGTTCTGCCTTGAATACATCTCAAAAGATAATAACCAGACTCAGAGATAATACTTATAACACATAAAGTGACAAAGTATATATGAAAAGCACCTACAAATCAATTGAAAAAAGACAACTCAAGAAAATGGGCCCAGGATATGAGAAGCAACTATTCACAGAAGCAATACAAATAACAAAAAGCATTAGTAATAATCAGATATTATAATCAAAATAAGATGCATTTATCAGACTGGGAAAACTACAAAAGGTCCATTTCTTAATGTTGACTAGGCTATGGGGGAACTTGCAGTAGTATAGAAAAAAATTTGGAAGGATGCACATCACATTGGTTAATATCTCTCTGTGGGACTTCTAAGTTTTACAATATGAATATATATATATTACTTTTTGCAAGTTACAAAAATCACTAGGACTTTGGAAATATACACGTAGGAAAAATAAAATGATCTTTTTAATGAAATAAATAAAATGTTCTTTTTAATAAAAGAGGAATTCCTCTTTTAGAAATTTATCCTAAAGGCATAATCAGGAATATGTATAAAAAGGTATGCTCCCTGGTGTTCTTTAGGCATATTTATAAAAGTGAAAACTGGAAGCAAATTCAATTCAAAAAAAGCATTATAAAATAGATTTGGTACTACTATGCAATGGAAAACTATGTAGCTATATAATAATCACATTTTCGAAGGCTAAAGATCTTCTACAATGGTACAAAACAGTAAATATAGTTTGACTACAATTTTTAAAAAAATATATTTTATTGATTTTTTACAGAGAGGAAGGGAGAAGGATAGAGAGCTAGAAACATCGATGAGAGAGAAACATCGGATCAGCCGCCTCCTGCACACCTACCACTGGGGATGTGCCCGCAACCAAGGCACATGCCCCTGACCGGAATCGAACCTGGGACATCTCAGTCCGCAGGCCGACGCTCTATCCACTGAGCCAAACCGGTCAGGGCATTGACTACAATTTTAATCCTCACCCGAGGATATGTTTTTCATTGATTCTAGAGAGAGGGGCAGGGAGAGGGAGAGAGAAACATCGATGTGGGAGAAACATTGATCAGTTGCCTCCCGTACGCACCCCAACCAGGGATAGAACCCTCAACCTGGATATGTGCCCTCTCAGTGAATAGAACCAGCAACCCTTCGGTACATGGGATGACGCTATAATCAATTGAGCCACACCGGCCACAGCAACCACAATTTTTAAAAGTATAATTGACCCTTGAACAACATGGGTTTGAACTGGGTGGATCCACAAATAAATGGATTATTTTCAATAAATACATATAGTATGGTAAATGCACTTTCTCTTCTTTATAATTTCCTAAGTAACAGTTTCTTTTCTGTAGCTTACTTTCTTGAAAGAACACAGCATATAATACATGTTACATACAAAATATATGTTAATTGACTGTTTATGTTATCAGTAGATTAACAGTAGGCCAGTAGTAGTTAAATTTTGAGGGGAATCAAAAGCTATACGCGGATTTTCAACTTCATGGAGGGTCAACACTCTTAACCTCTTCATTGTTCAAAGGTCAAGGGGCATTCATGCTTTAAAAATTCTGAAATAAAACACCAGAGTGTTAAAAGTTGTTATTTATGGGTAATAAGATTCCTGTGACTTTAATTTCCTATTTTATTATATTTATTATTTGCTGAATTATTCACAATATTTACTTATTGCCTTAACATTTTAAAAACATTATAAAATTTAATTAAAAATACTTAAAAAACCCCACAATAGTTTGGTCTTAAAATATTTGCCACCAAATTCAATGATATAACCAACATTTTCAGGTTATATATTTTAACCAACATTAAGTATGCTCCACATATTAGCCATTTTAGTCACTTGAAATCTTAGAAAAGATTATTCTGAATAAATAAATTTAAAATAAATAAAACTTCAAAATAGAAAACATTTCCTGACTTGTAGGTTAAATATTACTGAACTTGAATTCTAAAATTCTTCCCCTATCAGGGAAATAAAATTTGTCACATTTTAAATGTATTACTTGTTTCTTAAAGTACTAGGAAAACATTAAAAAT